CAGGCAGGCGCTTTTGCCGCTGAGCTAAATCCCCAGCCCCTCTGAGCTAAATCCCCAGCCCCTGAGCTAAATCCCCAGCCCCTTCTATCTTTTTATTTTAATTTTTTCCTTCTCCACTACAGCTTCTCAGGTTACATGCAGGTTGAAGTTTTCCCTGGCCTAAGAAGCATTCCCAGTCTCAGTTCTTAAAAAAGCATTCCACCTAAGCTTCTAGAAGAGTCTCTTAACTTTCTGTGGCTCTAACTCCTAGTCACTTCTCGGTTGCTTCCTACCACTACACGCCAAGGACACTGCTGCATCAGACCTCAGCAAAACTCACTGCCCAATCTAACTCGATGCTTTAAATCATCCCCCAGCCACTGCGATCTCCACTGCAGTTTGGTTTCTCCAAATACTTCTGGGTCCTCCTCTTCCCCCTTACACCTTACACACTCGTTTTTGCTTCTAATCAGCCTGTTGGGGCAAAAACTCTAAAGCCCAGAGGTCAGAAAAGAAATGGAGATGAATGAGGAGGTCAGGTGAAACCTGCATGCAGCTGGAGAGTTCATGTTTTACCAAACTGGCAGCTGCTACACAGCTCCAACTGATGGTAGTCGTGGAGAACAGCTGTCCAGTACTGCCACACGGCAGTACTATAATGTAGTATCTGGGATTTCAAATACAAACGACCAATTGAGACACACAAACACCACTACCATTAGCACTACACACTGTGCAGGTCACAGGAAAGACACCTGGAGGCCCAACTGCTGTTAGAGTTCAGACTTGTGAGGCTTTAAACAGGCCCTGACGCCTGTCTCTGAGGCCCCAGACAAAACCCCTTCAGACGGCCAAGTGAATGTCTCCATGTAGTTAAGTTGCCAAAATCAAATCATTATGCTACCACAGTTTTCTCCTTCCTTGTGCCAAACTTTCTGCATATTACCCTTAAAGTCAACCAGGACAAAAGCCATGGAGTAATTTACAGCCCATCCCTCCTAGTCAATCTACGTGGCCTCTTGCACACCATCTTTCATATTTGCCTCTTACTTCCCACTTCCACAGTGTGTGAACTAATCTAGCACCTCTCCAACTAACTGGGGACTGGGCCTCCAGAATCATCCTAAAGCTCGTACTGACTCTGTGCTTTCCCTTCCTCTAACGCTACCCAACCATGACAGTTTGAATGTCCTCTCCAAAACTCACGTGGACACGTAACTGTCATTGTAGCAGTTTTCAGTGGAACCTTTAAGAGGTGATTAAGTCAGGAGGACACTACCCTCCTGAAAAGACTGAGGGCGTTAGCGCGGAAGAGGGTTAGTTATCTTGGGATCGGGTTACCAGGACAAGGATGGGCTCCCCGGAGTTTCTCTCTGCCTTGCCACGTGATGCGCTCCAAATACAGCACAAAGGCCCTTGCAGATGCGCTCTGCTCTTGGAGTGTTGCCAGCCTCCTGAACTGTCAGGAATAAAGCTCTGATCTTTATAAATTACCCAGTGTCAGGTATGCTATTACAGCAATACAGAACAGACTAAGGCACCAATGCTCTGCACTTTCCTTGTATTTCTATCAGGAGCCACAGGCCAGCAGCCTTACGTCTTCCTAGCTGTGTTTACAGCTATCCACCCCAAGAGAATGAGAGCTCCCCGAGGGCAGAGTCACGCAAGGTGCTCATCCCTATGTGCACTAAGTAAATGCAAGCATGAACCTGTGGGTAAAGCGCACACAAGAAGAGGCTTGAAATGAAGACACCACAGGTTAAAGCCACTGCTCATCCCGGATTAGGACTATCTATTTTAACCTGGGCCAGCACCATGTGCCAGCCACCCTCATTTTAGACATGCAGCTGACAAAAGTAAACAGTCTGGCAGCATATGAAAACAGATTTGTTTTTAATACTCTGTATTAAGAAAATAGTATTTCTGGAGACTTTATCAACTGATCTTTTCTTACCGTTAACATATAAAGCTTAAAAAAAAAAACTTGCTGAATACTGCCATTGAGAACAGCTTCTAAAATTATTGGCAGTTACAGAAGGAGTACAAAACAGGGATGCACAGCAACGGTCCCAAGTGTACTTCAGGACCTTTCCCCATTATTTGCATCTAAAATATAGAAGTCTTCTGAAGATAAAAACAGGTAAAAGTATGGAAGACACTGGCCTTGGCAAAGACTTTCTAACAGAACCCCAATTGTACAAGAAATAACATCAAGAATCAACAAATAGGATCATAACAAGTTAAAAAGCTTCTATACAGCAAAGGAAACAGTCAACAGAGGGAAGGGGCAACCTTCAGAATGGGAAAAAAATTTTGCCAGCTATTCTTCAGACAAAGGACTAAGATCTAGAATATATAAAGAGCTAAAAACAAAAAATAAGGGCCCCTCCCAATAAAAAACCATCAAAATATGGGCAACTGAAACAAGACATCTCTCAGGAAAAGAATACAAATGACCAATGAATACATTTCTCTGGCTATTAGAAAAATGTAAATTGAAACAACGCTGAGATTCCATTTTACTCCAGAAAGAATGGCTATCATCAAGAAATCAAGTAACAACAAATGCTGGTGAAACTGGGAGTAAGGGGATCCTTCTCCACAGTTGCTAAGAATGTAAACTAGTAAAACCACTAGGGAAAATAGTATGGATATGCCTCAAAAAACTAAAAATAGAAATTCCATTTGACTCAGCTACTCCCCTCCGAGATACGGTCTCCAAAGAATTAGTCATCATATTACAGTGACACACCCACACCCATGTTTATGGCAGCACAATTCACAATCGCTAAATCTTGGAAGCAGCCTGCATGTCCATGAACAGATGAATGGATACAGAAAATGTGGTATTCACAATGGAGTACTACCTTACCCTAGAGAAGAATAAATGAGTTATTCATAGGAAAATGGATGTACCTTGAGACCACTACATTGAATTGAATAAATCAGACACACCGGCTTAAATATTACATGATTTCTCTTTTTTTTTTTTGGTACTGGGAATCGAACTCAGGACCTTGCGCTTGCCAGGCAGGCACTTATGCCACTGAACTATATCCCCAGCCCTACATGGTTTCTCTTATATGACAAAACCAAAACATAAATAAAAAGCAAAATAAAACATAGGCAATAGGGGAAAAAAAGAGACAAGGGAGTGTAGGGGGAAAATGCAGCAAGAAGAAGAGGAGACATAAAAAGAATGAAGATGTGTTATATAAAAGTACCAACTCTGCACAATGAATGTAATCATTATGTACTGCAAACATGTACTAATTAAAAACAAAAAGTGGACAAGCCTCCTCTCACACTTTTAACTAAAGGATTCATTTCCTAGAATCTTCTAGAAAACACAAGTAAAAAGAACAATCACTTAAATTAATTTCGAATTCCAAAGAGTTCTTTCACAGCTAAGAATTTCAGATCTTGCCGTATATTTAGTATCCTTGGAAATGAGTTTATTTAGCTGAATTTCTAAGAATTGAAGAACGAGTTAGGCATGGTGGCACACACCTGCAATCCCAGCATTTGGGAGGCTGAGATAGGAGGATCACTACTAGTTCAAGGCCAGCCTGGGGTATATAGCGAGTTCAAGGCCAGTCTGAACTGCACAGTGAGGTCTTGTCTCAAAAAAAAAAAAAAAAAAAAAAAAAAATTGAAGAACAAGTCTCCTACCTAAGAACACATTAACCATCTATACCCTCATAGGTATCTTGGTGAGCACCCGCACCTCACTGCACAGCTAACTGGTCCTTCTCAGTTAGGGAAGCTATACACTCACAGCCACTTGTTTTTAGCTGTGGCCTATTCTGTAGCAGTAAAGATAAACGTGCCTCCTCAATCAGAATTTTATGGCCATCAGCTTTAAGATACCTTCTGTGGATAGCAAAGCATTCAGAACTTGGGACTTCTTCCCTTCCTATGAGATGTCTAAGACTGGCACTAAGATAGCTAAGGCAATCAAAGTGAAAATGTTAGCTGGATAGTACACCATTGTCTCCATACGTGCAGGAAAATTAGCATGTTTAAAGAGAAGCTTACTGGTACTCAAATTCTCAAACTTTACACATTTCTTCTCTGACCTTATGCCTTTTTTTTAAAATCTGCAAATTCTTCTCTGATGAAAAAAGTCCTTAGGTTTATAACTAGAGCTTAGATAAGATTATGCTGGGGTAATGCCAAAGGATACTATTTCCTGCCTAAAATTTTGATCAGCTGCCCTCTAGCCTCAGCTCTCACATGGCTTTACAAAAACTCCCCTCACACACTTCAGCCAAGAGTTGTAGTTCATGTCAAACACAATGGACAGCAAGCACCTGCTCTGAAGGTTCCTGCGTGTACCAACAAGGCACCCTGCTGAATGGTAACAATCATTTTGCATTTGACGGTTACAAGTCTTGGTTCATCTGCCTTCTGGAGTGAATTAATCTCTACATCTCAAGGTAAACGACTAAAAAAAACACTCAAAAATAAAACTGGGCTTACAACAAACTTTTTTAACAAACTTTTTTTTCTCAGAAGTTGAGTTGCTACACGAGATAAAAGGCCATGGTTTGACCTCAATACTCACCGAAGGATCAACTTGGTCATTGGTCACTCCTCGAAGAACTATTTTTAATGGGTGCTTCATAAATGGGGCCAGGCAAAGGAGCCCCTCCAGGTAATAGCCAATGCCACGAAGGAGGCTACAGTCATGTTCCACTGAGCCGCCATACAGGAGGCCAGGCTGGTAATATAAGGTCGTTCCTTAAACCAGAGAAAAGACAGTCAGATGCAGCAAGAACAAAACCAAGCATTACAAGGCAATGAAGGCCGTGAGTCTCAAGGGGAAAATCTGAGAAGGGCGTCCAAAGCAGTTCAAAATGCCATCCCTGATAGCCCACACTTTGCTCCAAAAGCTGACTCACTCCTGTCAAGCCTCTGTAACAATAATAAACTGTGAATGTAATTTAATAAATAGTAATAAATATAAGCCCTCCCTAAGCCATCTCAGCTGCCAAACTCATGGCAGGGCACAGAGGAGGGCTCCTAGCAGCTACCACGGCCTCCCAGCAGCACATTCTCAGACCGCTGACTGCAGGCTCACAAACGATGACCTAGTATCATCACACTGCAGCCCGCATCCCCTTGACCTGAGATTTCTCTGACATTTTACTTACTAAACAAGATCCCTAGAAAAGGCAGATACTTTCTAGCATTTGATGCCATTAATGATGGCTATTTTAATTTATTATTAATTATTAATAAATATTAATGGAAAGATCTACAAACATGGCTTTAGTGGACACTATTCGTTATCATTATTCACTTTTTCACATATTCGTATTCCTTACTGGATTTACACATCATAGGAAAAACAGGAAAACATTACAGACTGTGGGGGCGGAGGTAGTAAATGGGCAGGCAAGGTATTTCTGATGCTCAAAAGCTTTTGCAATGTCTTCTGGCACAGTGTACAAAAATAAATTTAACACTAGAGGAAAGGGACATTGGAAATAGTTCTTAGGAGTTTCATAAAATAAATTTAAGTTTTACTGCATAGTAAAATCTAAAGCACCATAATCTGGATCATATTCTGATCAAAGTGACTACAACTCAAAGAGAAGGATTCTGGGTCGTTTATCTTAGATGGTATTAAGCGTCACAACACCATCTTTTAGATCAAGAAGCCAACAAAAGCTATATCGCCACACAATCCTTCAGTTCCATCTGTTCACGGGAAATTAACCAGATCAAAATGATGGCATTTAAATTGTGAGAAGGGGAGGGGAGGACACGGGATGTGAGCAGGATCACATAAATGTCCTTCTCTCTAGTCTACCCTGCAGATAGGAGGACAGGATAAAATTACCTGCCTTCTGAATCATCAGTAAAAGTTGCTGAACAAATCTCAGCAATTTCAAAGTAAACAAGCCAAGGAAGACTTACGGAATTACAGCTGGCATAGGGCACCCGAGTATCTCATGCCTGAAACCTATTTTCCACCACTATGGCTAAATGAAGCTACAAATGAGCACATCTCATGCAGCCCAGAGCCACATAGGAATCCAAGCTTGTCTTCTTTTTAGAACCCACATAGATTAAAGGTCAGAGATTCCTTTGTGGAATATGTGAGCAAAGGTACAGAGTTCACAGAGTCAACTAAAGGATCTTTTCCATGGTATCCTACACAATACAAAGATTTTAATAGCAGAAAACGAAAGCTAGAAACAACCTAAAATTTATCAGTGGGGAGCAGCTAAAGAAATTATCAACCACCCATACAATGGAGATTATATTACAACCTACAGATATATGGAGGCAGATCTGCATGTTCTGGCAGTAAAGGCACTCAGATACTTATGCTAGTGAAAAAAATACTAGCTGCAGAACAGTGCGAAAAGGATGACACTGTTGATGTTGAGTTACATAAGTGCCATGTAAGCAAATACTGTGACACTGTCAATCTCTGGAGAAGGACTGGAAGAAGAAAGAGGTAAACAGATTTTAACACTTTTTGTACATGCTTGTGAAAACTTATTCTGAGACAAAACTAAAATTTCAGCACACACAAACTACTGCAAGAAATTTAATGTGATATTATACAAGGACTTTCAAAAATTTTGTGTAAATGTTAAGCATAAAGTATTTTTATTATAAAAAAGTAGTAGCCAGACATGTGGCTGGCCTGTAATCCCAGCACTCAGGAGGCCGAGGCAGCAGGATTACAGCAAGTTCAAGACCAACCTGGGCAACATAGTTCAAGGCCAGCCTGAACTACATGGGAAGACTCGTCTCAAAAAAAAAAAAAGTGCTTCCTTGTTCATATAAAGTTGTCAGTTTTCTACCTCACTTAAGTCGCATGTATGCTCCTTAAATTAGGAACTTTCCCGTATATCCTTGGTCAATCATATCACAGACAGGAAAGTGAGTCTTTCCAGTCAAATACATTATTTTGATAAATCGGAATATTAAGTCTTTATTATAATCTCCACTCATGGCTCCCTTGTGTAATTCTGAAGGGTACACTCTCAAAACATTCCAGCTGAACGATAGCTTTTATGACACAAAGTGATTATTAAAGGTTTGAACACAATACAATATTTACACCATTAAAAAGAGAGAGAAGCAAAGGAACAGTTAAATAGCGCACACAGGTGCTTTCACATCGGACAGAAAAGGATCTTACCTGTTTGGTTTATTTCAATTCGAGAACCATTAGTTATTTTGTCCAATAGCCTTATGAAGCTGGCTTCAAAATCTGTGAAGAGAAAACAGACCGGCCTTGTGTTAGGGCACATCTGATCCAGATACCACAGCAGAGGGTGGGTTACTGCCGGCTTCACCACTGGGTTTTCCTCTGGACCCGGGTGAGACCAGGGGAACTTAATGCAGTGAGAAAGAACTGACTAGTATGTACGAATCCAACTGAGAGAAACAACTCAGCTTTCCTGCTCCATAAAAAACAGCATCTTTCCCAGCAACCTCATAAGCCATGAACTGGAGCCGCAGAAAACCCACTAATCACCTGTCCAAGGACGCCAGGTGGGCAAGCCAAATGAAGTCAGAACAGCAGAAAGTATTCCTCCTTGCTCCAGAACGCCCGCGAGGGGAGATTAAAGAGGGCCAGCTTTCAGTTTCACAAGCAGAAAGACATCAGTGCCTCTTTCTTTCAACAAAATGTCCCTTTCTCCTTCTCTCTTTAGGATCTACGACTATCTAACTAGTGGTGGCGGGTTTGTGTGTGTGTGTGTCTTTCATTAAAAAATACTTGAGCCAGGCATGATGGTGCACGCCTGTAATCCCAGCACTCGGGAGGCTGAGGCAGGAGGATCCTTGCAAGCTTGAGACCAGCCTGGGCTACAAAGTGAGCTCAAGGCCAGCCTGAACTGCAGAGCGAGACTCTGGTCTCAAAAAGACAAAAAATAAAATTTAAAAAAAAAAAGAGTACTTGAATATAGTACAGTATTACTATTTCCTATTTTTAAATGCATGATAAAGACCAGATGTTAATAAATGAAATTCTCTTGATGATAGGATTATAATTAATTTATTTTAAGTATTTACATTTTAATGTTCAAATTTGTTAATTCCTTTTATGAACAGATTGTTATCTAAAATATAAAAACTGATCATTGTTTAAAAGCGAAAGGAGGGAAGGAGGGAAGAAAAGTGCTGTAGAAGGAACAGAGAATAGATTTTTAAATGTGAAAGTATGTGAGGAAATGGGGAGATGATTCTGGAAGGAGAACTACCTATGTGCTCTGTGCTTCCCTGAGCTGATCTTACAAACATACACACACATACACCCTAGCTTACACACACACACACACACACCCTAGCTTACACACACACACACACACATACACACACCCCAGCTTAACCTCCGGCCCATGAACAGGGAAAGGAAGACCAACTCTTCTATAACTGCCAGGCATTCCTGTAATAAACCAGCACTTTGTGGGCACAGATCCCAGCCGTCACCTAAACTGACCCCAAAGGGTAAGCCAGTCAACTAAGCAATTCTCATCTACCTGGTCTGTTACTTAACATTGGCTCATAACTCTATCATAGCAGATTCTGCAATCTGTACAAAGAGCACCCAGCTAGGAAGGAGCCAGAGAAACGCCATTAAATCCTGAAATAAGTAAAACTGGCTAATGACAGCTGCAGCACATTGAACATTTACTTTGCAGCATACATTCTGTCATTTAAACCTTATAACCTTGAGGGAATGGGTGTCACTCCCGTTTTATAGAAGGTTGAGACCCAAGATTACCAACCAGTCTAACTTGGTCAAATGACCAACAAGTGACAGAGCTGAGATCTGAGCCCAAACTCGTCCTCCTCCAAATCCTCACCCTAAAGCACACCACGACAGCTTGTCTCCACTCCATCACTTGGAGCCAAGCTCTTACTCTAGAAACCATGGTAACTTTTCATCTGCAGGCGGTAATCTACCAAAGGACCTTGCAGTAGTATCAGGTCCCCAATCAGTATTTCTTTTTAATTAAATTAAAATACAATGGACTGCATCAGTCCCCTTTATCTGCAATTTCACTTTTCATGGTTTCCGTTACCCAGTCACAGTCTGAAAATATTGAATGGAAGATTCCAAAAATAAATAATTCATAAGTTTTAAATTGCATGGCATTCTGAGCTGCCTGACGAAATCTCACACCATTCTCTTCTCTTCTGCTGGGGATGAGACGCACCCCTTTGTCCAGTACAGCCAAGCCATATATACTATCTACCCGTTCGTCACTTACTTGCCATCTCAGTTATCAGATCCACTGTCCTGGTCCCACAGTACTTGTGTTCAGGAAATCATCATTTTACTTAATGATAGCCCCAAGGCACAAGAGTCAAAGATAAGCCTATTATCCTAGGTATTTATGTATAGAGAAAAAAATGTAGTATACATACAGCTCAGTTACTATCCACAGTTTTAGTCACCTACTGGGGCACTAGCAACATATGTCCCACAGGAAAAGGGGTACTACTATATAATATACTACAGTAACTATATGCAATACGCAGTAACTGTACACCGTTCATGAAACTTTAGCTTCAGTTTAACTTATCTTCATATGAATTGTGTACGCAGAATCACACAAATTTTAAAATAACTTAAGTACTGAGTTGAACTAAAAAGTACTTCTAAGGTTTTGTATAGAATACTGTATTACTGAAAAAAAATCAGGTACACTCTGTATCATAATGCTACTTTGTTAGGTTTACGGCAAATGCAAAGTACTCCACATAGAGAAAGAAAGCTCTTGCTTTGCTCAAGCTTTCCAGATGCCTAAATGAAAAGAACAAGTAAATCCCAAAATTAAAACCCCATAGGTTTTAAAAGATTAGGAAAAAAAAGAAAGCATGATTTTAAAAATGTTTTGTTTTGTTTTGCAATCCACAAGGGTGCTTAAACATGAATGTGGTCACAAATACCCAGCAGGAACATGCGTAGGAAGGGAATGGGTACCTAGTATTTCAAACAAAAAGACTCAGAGCTAGTTCCAGAGTCTTGCAAACAGTGAAGATATAGCTCCATCACCTGGTATGAAAAAGATCTCCAGTTCAACAACTTCAAAGTCTCCAACTTCTTTAAACCAAGATGCATGGGATTCTTTGCCCGCCCACCTCTCACACACCTTGACACTTCTCTTTCAAGACTATTCCTAGAAGTACAAAATATCAGGTATCTAAAAACCTTACAGGAAACATTCCAAAGCAAGCACAATTTTAATACACTGTGTAGAAATACATAATATGGTGATAAAACTATACAAAGAAAGAAGGTAAATGCCATAATGATCAGCACCTGGCTATCACTAGGGGTATGGAGGACAGCTTTGAATGGGAGGAAGAATACAGATGTTGACTGGCAAGGCTCTATTTCTTGACCTGCATGAAGGTTACACATACATTCATTTTATAATCCCTTAAGCACTATTTTATGCCTGAGGTATTTCTCATGTTTTGTTTTGGTTTTTTTTTTTTGGTGGTGCTGGGAATTGAACACATGGTCTTGTGCATGCAAGACAAAAACTCTACCACTGAGCCACATTCCCGACCTCCCCCCCACTCACGTTCTTATATACAACACTATTATAAAATTTTAAACTACTGGGGGGCTTTGGGGAAGACAGCAGAATGGTGAGCAAAAGAGACTCTTCAAAGAGTCTCTTCAATGGTGAGCCAAAGTGTCTGGTGCCCAGACACTGGAACACAGCAACAAGAAGAGGAAAAGAAAGGAAGTGGGTCTCCAGGACCCAAGAAGGATCTAAAGCGAGAAGTGAAGCCTACAGAGAGAGACAGTGAAGAGGGATTTCAGGGAAGAACGAGGTGAAGGCAGGTAGCACTTTCCACCTGAGCCTGGACTGCAGACACATGGTGACTACTGGCAACCCCAGAGGCCTCCACAGAGAAATGCACCAGTGGAACAGAGCACTGGACACGGTGGATTGCAGTGGCTGGTGAATTACTCGGGTTCAGACGTCCCCCAGGGGAGGGCTATCGGCCAGGAGTCATCTTAGAAGAGGGGCCAATGGAGCTCAGACCTCAGAGCAATTGTGGGCTCCATCTAGCAGCTCCCAGTATCAGGGTAAGGGAGCTGAGTTCAAGGTGGAATAAGTCAGGGAGTCCAGTTTGTGGTGACAGGGACCAAAGTTCAAGCCAGAGTGGATACACAGACTGCTGCAGGTTGAAAGGATCTGGTTCCAAACTCATAATTAGAAACCAGCCTAAACTTCAGGGGAAACTTCAGGGTGCAACATCACTGAGATTATCCACTATACCACCATAAAGTTACCGCTGGCTTACTGGGATAAATCAGCACAGATCAGCACTCTATCTACACACTTGTCTACCAATGACAGCAGAGAAAAACCTCAAAGTGGACTTTTTTTATTCCTTTTTTCCTTTCTTTTGTTTTTCTTTTTCCTCTTCATTGTTTGATCTTGTTTTTATGAGCATGAATGTGGTTTCTAGGTTTGTGTGTGTGTGACTGTTCTTCTGCTCTTTTTATTTCTTCCTTCTCTCTTCTCTCCCGACTTTTTTCCCATTTCCAAAAATTTGCATGATCTTCTGTTATGGCTGATACATTGTGTCAACTTGAGGAGTCTAGAGTCTTGGCTAACTCAGCATTTCAGCATCCTGGGGTGAAAAGGACAGGCCCTTACCACTCTGGGATGCTGTTCATTGTGTCAATGTGAGAAGTTTAGAAGGTTAAGTAAGTGACCAAGCACGGGGCGGGTCCTTACTTTATATCATCCTGAGCCTGTGCAGGAGGAGGGCATGGAGATCACGTGAGTGCTACATGCCCCTGGGTGGAGGTGGACTACTTACAACATAAGGGAGGAAAAGAGGCTTGCTCCCTGCTTTTGCTCTTGCTGCTTCTGCTGTTTTTACATCGCCATGAACTGTTGCCCTCTGCCATGTGCCACTCTGCCTTAGAGTCAGCCAAATAAGGACAGAAACCTCCACAAACTGTGAGCTAAATAAACCTTTCCATCCTTAATTCTGGGCATCAGGTATTTTGTCTCAGCAACGAGAGAAAAGTAACCAAGACAGAATTTGGGACCAGAGAAGTGGCATCCTTGCTGTGACTATACCTGACCATGTAGTTCAAGAACCTTTGGAAATGGCTTGTGGAAAGCGTTTGGAAAGGTTCAGCGATTTCACCTGAAAGAGAAGCACTAGAACACCTCTTTGGCTGTTCTGTATGGGAGATTCTGGCCAGAGCTCAGAAAACCAAAA